TTTGTTCAGCCAGATCAAGTGGAAAATATTCCAGGAAGCAGTTCCTTTAAGCTCCTCATCAAAAGGTTACTGTTCAAAGTGATTTTCAGCCTTGTTTGTATTTTAACAAGAGGAGCTTCCTTGTTACTACATTATTCTAGTTCTGCTTAAATGTATTTCTTTGCCACATGACTCAAACGAAATTTAATGATGTTATATTTATTTATTTTCTCCTTTCCTTTCTGGTTCCGTTTTTCTTTCTGGTATTTTGTAGTAAGTATGAAAAATTTTTTTTCTGTTATCAAGAGCAAAAGTAGGATGTCCCATTTCCTGCATTTTGATTTATGAGCCCTCAATAAAACTAGCTAATAGCCTATATTCACCATTTCACGTGAGAAACCATGTGTAGTTGCTCTGAGTCTGTTAGCTCTTAGTGGAACAATTTTTTTGCTATGGCATTTTTTTAAATTAGTGGTTTATCATTGTGTGGAAAACATGTGAAGGGTACATGGAGCACTGGAGAGAGATCCCACTTGTCCCATTTCTTTCCCTTTAGTCATTCTGGCTGAAAATTTGTAAGGGAGTGCTCCAGGTCCTTTAAAATCCACAGAGGTTTTATTTGTTTGTTTTTGATTATTTCCCCTCCCCAGAAGAGGTATAGCTGTGTTTGCTGCAATAGTTTTTGTCATAGTAGTCAAGCAATGTATCTATCTGAATAACATTCTGAAAAAAATGTGTCTCATCGTAAGAGAGAGTAACTCAGCCTCTGTGCCCAGTTTACTTTCTGACTTGTCTGAGGTCTAACCAAAACTTTTCGCAAGAGCTGATGCTGTTGGCAAAACATCTAAGGTTTCTCTTCACCCACTGAGGCAAGTGGCATGTGTCACCACTTAAAGAGAAACAGAAATGTCCTTCTGGAAGTGAATGGCATTTGAGGTGCAGTGTTGGAGAAGAGGCCAAGTCAGGAATATGGAAGAGTGCTAATGCCTGCTTCCTGCAGTAGAAGCAGCAACAGCTAAGTCCTTCTTATCAAATGATATGTTTTTTCATAATCACCTCGTTAACCCAGCTGAACTGAAGACCCTGCACTGAGTGCAGTTCCTTTTTGTTTTGTTCTGAGGCATGGTGAATTGGGTAACTTACCCATATAGTGGTAAAATCTAAAAATTCACATTTAATCCAGTGATAACTGTGTACAAGAACTTTTTAATGTGCTATTGTTGTGAATGCAGCACAGAAATACAGGAAACTATTTCATACTGAAATAATCAATGTGACAGAAAAAATTTCATGTATTTCAGCATTAACATTAAGCACTAAAATGCACCTGTACAATTGTTAGTGGTACCTAACACCACTCAATTACTTTGCCTCAATGTACTTAATATACACATTTCCCTAGGATGCAGTAATGCCTTTCAGAGAGATGGGAAATGTCTAGATTTATAGCTATAATTGTTGAAATTTACCCTTATCTTTGAGAATCTCTGGAGACAGCATTTCTTTTCTAAAATATTTTCTTTATTAGTATGATGGTAGTTTTACAGCTAGAACTATTCCTGAGCAATATACTAATAATAGGTTGTGTGTTACTCAGATAATAACTTTTCTAGGTTTTATGCATGCAGATGGATATTTTACTTTATTTCTATTGAAATGTAAAAGAGAAGCTAACACACCATGCCATGTTTGGTAACCAAAGTCTATCACTGTATGTTCCTTTTCATTTTTCTTTCCCATGTAAATGAACAGCAGGCTTCTCTCTGGAGAGTCAAAAGCACTAGGAAATCCACGTGGGATGTGAAGAATTCTTAAATTGCTTTTGCACTTTTTGCCCACATTTGTCTGCAGCACTTGCAGGCAAAATTTGGGGAAAGAGGACAACTCTTCAAAAATCAGAACAAAGATCTTTTCACTCAGGTCTGACCCTGTGTGGGAGCTCCACTTTAGTCAGAACCTACGTAGCTTGTAGTGAAGTAGTTCAAAGAAAATGTACTATACTGACCCCAAAAGGTCATCTTCTATGTAGTTGTTGTCTCCTGAGTGTTTTTTCTGGTCACACCTCAAGATGGAGTGACCTGAAGCACAGGCCAGGCAGGCTGTCGGAGCTGTGAGATGTTAGTGTGGAGTGCTGCAGCTTCAGTGTCCTCCTGCCCTGCCAACCCTCCATGTCAAAGACTGCCCTTGACAGAAACCCAGCTGGACCATAAAAATATAGGATTACAGAGGCCAGTATTACACCATATTTCTGTCCTTTATTATTTGAAGGAACTGAACTATTGTGTGATTTGTGATGATGTTAAACTTACTGCCAAAGGCGTATTATTTTGTGACTCAATAGCCTGTTTTGCTATCAAGTTGGTTTCTTTATTTCTCATTAACTGAATATTTTTCACCTGTGGGACTATCTATTGAGTTAAATATAGCACAGGAGCTTGATTAAGTATTTCCACCAAATTATCTATCTGCAGGTGGGAAGTGGAAGTTCTTAGCTGTTTGATTGATGTACATTTT